TAAAAAAATAGTACATTATTATCCAAGGTTGCAAAGCCAAGCATTCTAGACCGAGCGCAAATTAGAACCCGAGACGCGCAGCGTCGAGGGCTCTGAAGCGCGAGGTCTAGAAGTGGCTTTGCAACCGTGGTTAATATACTATTTTTTTCACTAGTAGAAACCATAAGACAATAAATTGAAAAAATAAATGTTCAATTTTTTGACGCAACATTATTTTGTTTTGATTTCTAATCAAACTTAATTTAAATCTTCAACACAAAGAAAACCGTTTACACTTGTCGCTGAGTTAATAATTTTATCTCCCACCGTCTACCAACTACCATGCGTATACTCAAATAATGTTAGTAGCACACATTTATTGATTTTTTAAGAAATAATCACATCAAGTTTTGCGTACATAACCTCAATCTTCTTTTTGAACCCGTGGTCGCAAAAGTTGAATTTGCTACCTCTAAATAAGTCGACATTTGCATGCTTCATGGCTGCTAGTGAAAAAAAGATTTTTTTTTTAAATAGTAAGATAACTCCAAATAAACCTGGCACCATGACTTGGTGTCTATATAAAAAAACATGCAGCAGAATTTTAAACCTTTATCTTTAAAAATAGTGGAGCTGTAAATTTTTAAATCTGATCATGTTTTTCATAAAAATGTATATATCTTGAAATCTATCGGCTAAAACGGTGTATATTGGTTTTTGGGTCTTTTAGGTCACAAACAGTACATCATGTTTACAGGATAATTAACTTTGATTTTAGAACATTAAATAAACTTTCTTTTGTATCAGGATTATCAAAGTTTGTTGTTACATTGAAGTTTAACTCAAAGGACCTTTTACATAAAATACCAATATTTGAAAGTTTCCATAACGTGAAGTAGAAATTAATATTTTACAAAACCACGCTTAAAATTTTTTCCATAAAATAAAAAATATCGGTGTTCGGCTTAAAAAAACTGAAATTGAAACAGTATTTTTGTATACTAATAAAATAAAATCTAACAATTGTATTAGGGAAAATAACTGTTCGTCGGATTTTCATTCAGATGAGATAAAATGATTTCAGATAATCCCTATAAGTTAAAATAAAGCTATGTGTGGACTGTTAAAGTACAGATAAAGGAAGCATGTTATGCCTATTGTTGAAGTGAGTTTTCCATAACAAAATTTTGTCACAACGTCATTAATCCCCGGACCTCTCATCTGCGAAGTAAGCGAAGTTGTAACCGGAAACCAGTGACAGTTGAAGTTGTCCCGTAAGGAAAAATCGGGACCAACGACCCCGCGTCCCTTGTCGGCGCCGCCGTTGCATTAGCAACAATTTCCTCCTCCCCATAAAATTCGATCCCGAGAAAATTCGTTATCGCACTCCACGATCACCGTTCACTGCGTGTTTTCCTCGTTATTTGTTCTCGTCGTAAAATTGTCGTGTTTTGTAGCCGGTGCATGAAAATGAAACTGTCCGTCAACTGCCACACAATGGAGAAATCCCACCGCTGCAAGTTATCCAGAAAACCGAAAGAAACTGAATATCGAGCGACCGTTATATTGAAATTCTTCATACGCCCGTGCACTCCGACAATAAGGAACAAACAACCGTCAATTAAATCAACTGTTAAGCGTAAACACTATGCAGTTTCCACGTTAATTAAAAACCAGTGTCGTATGTGCGGTTTTCATTTTAATCTCGTGCTAATTTGAAGAAGTTCCACGTCTCGATTCAAAAGCGCTTAATAGATTCACTCGAAACGGTTTCGTAATAGAGCTTTCTACGAAGATTTCTACTATTTTTAATTGCGTTAAACTCGGGAGTAATCTGCGTATAATTCCGGAGATAATCATCGCGGCATTTTGAAATTCCACTTCAACTCGAAATTAGCTCCCTCGAAGTTTTGTTTCAAATTTCGCATTAATATTCGATGGCTTGTGGCTGGATTTCGGGCGTATCGAAGGGACCACCCAATCAGAAAAACGAAGAACAAAAAACCGAACATAGATAAATCTGTTACAAGTGGTTAGAAAAAGCGACGAGTGAAATATTTACGAGCCGTCGGACTTTTACAAATAGCGCTAAATTTTTAAACGGTAGTATAAACGACGACGAGAAACGCAATGATAACGAGAATTTCGTTAATTATCGCAGAAGATCCTTTTAACACCACGCTGTGAGGTTTAGTATCCACCATAAAACGAAAAGAATGTGTATCCTTTCTAATCGCTTCAGGTATAACTGATTTCTATAGACGCAGCCAAGACGAGGGTTCTCATAAAGTGGTTTTATAGAAGCTTTTATTGATGACCGTCCAAGCGAACGTCTTGACAAGGATCTCGGAATTAATTTATACAACATATCAATGAGTGCCTGTGACGGCGAAGACGCGGAGCTTTCTTTTCAAGCACAAATGGGGGAACGCTAATCCCTCTAATGAACTAACACTGATCTAAAACACACCAAATCGATAAAATTTTATTCACTAATAAATTAACGGAAACGTTAAATTTCTTCCGGTTGTTCATTAGCGATTTTAAACTCGCTTGTTACGTAACCGAAAGTATGGAAAACGAGACGTTTGTTCGGAACCCACTGCTAAAAACCCGCAAGCTTGATACGACTAAACCTCAAAGAGCTTTTGATCTTAATTACACTTTTATGTGCATTACAAGAAAAAAGATATAAAGAGTCAACTGTGACAGCTGTCTGCCGTCAGGAAGAGGAAGTGGAAAAAAGTTTGATCTTTAATCTCTTTGTTTCGTTATTATGTGAGGTAATAATACATTTATAAATCTCTATCTGGCATTCGCACACTTCTGGACTTAAATTAAATAGACACAGTATGAATGGATGACAAAAAATTATGTCCGAGAGATAGCGAAAATCCTAATATTCATTAAAAATTACAATGGTGATTGTGCTGCCAGATTTACTTTTCAGATAGACGATCTTTGCATACAGAAGAATTCATACTTACATATTGTCTATTACGGTATAATATTTTATACATTCTTTAACAGAGCTTTCTAAAAGAATTAAATTGTCCTTGGAGATTTTGGCATCTGAATTCATGTTCAAATTTAAATGTACAGGCTGTACTATAATTATGTACTAAAAACTTATTAACATGACATTTTTGCCTTTCATTTTTTCTAAATAGTGATTAATTTAAAAAATATAAAAGTATAAAAATACCACATTGCCCCAATCAATTAATGAGACCTTTAACATTAGAGCTCGTGGTCCAATCTAAAATAATTTAATGAAAGAACATCAAAGAAAATTTCATTCCATCATCGAGATTAGTTTCACAAAAATGCTGAATGTACTTCGTTATTTCAGATATTTTTAGCAACTGTATAAAACGTCAAACACCCACGAAGAGTTTCGGGGTAAATAAGATAAATTTGGAAGCACACTATAGATGTGCAGATTTTTTAGTAACTAGGAAGATCCACCAACAGTGCAAATAATCTCAACAACACACAAGTTTCCCTATTTTTGTGAATTAAGGGCGGATTACACGGTTTGTCGAATGGCAGACAAACAAGGTCAGCTTGTCAGGGGTCTTTATGTGTGGCGGCCTGAATTTACATTGACATTGTTCTGACAATAGCAACAATTTTTACAACTATTCCGCTACCTTTTTCTCCTCGTCGATTTTAATGAGTGATATGCTATTATGTTGCAGATAACAATGAACTTTAACTTTTACTAAGAGATATAGGAGTATATTTTTTATATTTTCCTTTGTGCACGAGCGTTCTTATTGTTCTATTTTTTCCTTAAATGTTATCACACGCACGTTTAAACACTCAAAACTTAGTACCCTTTTATTAATTAAATGGGAACAAGTAAGCCATCGACTCCAGCAATAAATTTTCCCGTATTTGCTTCCCAGAAGCAACGTTTCCATTTCCATATTATGATTATAGAAACTAATGCCCGCTCGAAAACATTAGTTGGACACTAGAATACCCTTCTCACTTATTGAGCCTCAATTATTTCAAATCTGTGTTCGTGACTAATGTTAATTAAAATTTGCCATCTCCCATAATTGACAAATCCTGCTCCGGGATTTGTACTAGCGCAGATGCTTAACCGTAATGGCATAGAGCTTTGTGTTGATTCGAACGTTTACGACGAAGTGAAGAAAACGCTAATAATTTGAATTCTCAACCGTCTCCACGTCTCTAAAACAATTCGTTTTATTTTATTTCGGGGCGAAACGAACTCTGGGATTAATGAACCTTCCCAGAGGTGGATCCTCAGGCACTCGAGGTACGCACGGTAAAAAATTAGACAATTTAAAGCAAGCACGGTGGTCTGGTGATGGAAGTTCTGCATCCGCATCCGGATGAAAAGTGCTACTTCAGTATTATTTCAATAATTTGTTATGCTTTAAAGTTTCAATTTTTAAAAGGATAAAATTTGTAAGACTAGTTGTAATATTATTATTATTATTATTATCACAGTATTTCTGCTACTTCTTCGGGTTTATGCTAGGTTTTTTGGTTCGCAACCAATTTTTTTTACTGTGTACCAGAGGAACAAAGGGGTTGTTATTGGTAATTACCGCAGAGGCCCGAAATCGATGACTCCGAAATCCTTGTTTATCGAATCGACGGAATGTTGTCAGTGATGAATGGGCGACATTCAGATACAAACAGATTTTTAATCTAACAGTAAACTGATCCATTAAAAGAGTCCTGTTTGGACACGGACGATGAGTGTCGGCGGCGTGGGACGGATAAAATACAGTCCAACCAGCAACAAAACGCCGAAACGAAACGCGATTGGACGTCTGTCATTGATGCAAACTCGTGAAAACATCAAACAATAACGTTTTTACAGTGCAATTTTCCGCGTTTCAAATCTCGACGGCTGAAATTCCAATTTATTTCCTGCATTAAATAACGACACAAAGAAATATATTGTAAATATAGTAAAGCAGATTTCGTGTTTGCAAAACTTACAGGTCATTAAACGCTCCACCTCACCCAAAACTCACCTTCGAAATCCTCCTGCCGGAAACGGAAACCTGAATCCCGAGGGGGGCGGCACCGGCACCGCCACCGGCCCGCTCCCCTGCACCAGGGGCACTTGGCCGCCAACGACCTGCGGCGGCGGGAACGCCACTAAACCACTAGGCACTACATTGTTAGGTACTACACTTTGCATAGGATGATGCGGTGGCGGTACCATCATCGGGCTGGGCAGCACGACGTTCGGGGGCGGCACGTTGCTGGGCAGCGGCGAGTACGGGGGCGGCATGTGGCTGTTGAGCAGATCCGGGAGCCGGTCATTTTGACTCGAGTTCTGCGGCAGCGTGTTGGCCTGGGTACCACTGTCGACCGTGTGGCGGTGGCTGGCGCCGTTGGACCGCCGCTGGTGCCGCCGCTCTCGCCGCTCCTTGCGACGCTGCTCACGAGTGGCGGCGGTGTCGGGGACGGCGGGCGGCGGGCACACCGAGATTTCGTCCGTTTGGGCCTCGGTCGACGTGAAGGTCCTGGGGGCAGGGTTGCGGTTGGGTACCACGCTGACGGTGTGTGTTGGGGCCGGCGTGTTGTGAACCGTGACCTGGGTGGTACCGGTGACAGCTGCGCTGGAGAACGGGGGCTGAGTGGTACCTGCGGTGGTTGGGTTGTCGTTAGTTTTTGTTTGCGCTAGTGGTTAAAAAGTACTTTGTAACTACAGAGGGTTAATTAGGTAATTCGAGACGGGATTCTTTTGATTTATAGTGGAGAAAAAACAAAGTGTTTGGTACTTTGAAACGTAAAACCACAACAAAGGCTGGCTGATGAAGCGAAAGCAGAGAAAACAGAGCCACGTCCGAAAAAGATCTGGAGATTTCACAGTATTTTTGAAAATATCTAGAGAAAAACTTTACTGGAAAATAAAAAAACCGTAAACTAAAAATCTAGAAAAATCTTTGAAATAATGTTTCAAAGCAAATTAAATTCGCTAATGGTCGAAGTTGTAGGTGAAAGAGCCATTCTCATGGTAAAACTGAAACAGTACCCAGCGGCATGATCTGCACGTTTGACACGTTGTTGCCTTGGTCCAGCGTGTTCAGACACTGGATCGTCGGTACCGAAGACACGACGTTGACAGGTACTGCTCGGTAGAAGTTGACATTCACGTTGCTGACATTCAGAGGGGCGACCTTTTTCCCGTCCGAGTTCATCCTCTGGTGGTTCGGAGCGATACCAGTCATCTGTTTCGGTACCGAGGCGCTCCGCAGGTGCGTTATCGTGGTTTGATCGACCTGCGAGTTGTTCCTTTGATGTACCACCGGTACCACGTTCTGGTTGTACCTCTGGCTCGGCTCGGACCCATTTCGCGGATGGTTCGGGAAGACGACGTTGGGTCTGAGTTGCGTGGTCGACGGCACCGACGCCCGTCGCGGATTCTCCGGCAGGCCGACGACATTGGCGCTGCTGAGGGAGTTGGGCCGGACGGTACCGTTCAGGAGGGTGACGTTCTGGTTCCGGATCAGCCCATCGTTGCCCGTGGGGATGTTCAGCACGTTCGGCGCGGTACTGATGGTACTCTCGGTGCCCGAAACTTCCAATTGCATATCACTGTTTTTATGTGGAAACACATCACAGTCACTGGCACTATCACCGACACAGGTCGCGGTACCACTCTCGAGCGACTCCACTAGACTGGCCTGACTGTTCAACCTACTTGTGGCATAACAAGAGAGGGGGTCACGTGACTGGTTCCCCGAGCGGCATTGGTGCGCCGGCTTCAGGTTGTTAACCATTTCTGTGCGAAGATTTAGGTCTGTTGTGTTCGAGCGCAAAGGGCCTTTGTTTGGTGGATCATCAAGGTCGCTAAACGTTCCGCTGCTGCCGCAAGAACTGCAACTTGAGGGCGGCTTTCGCTTGTTCTGGTATTCGTACGGTTGCCATAGCAAGGAGCTGAGGGCCTCCTCGACATCCTGGTGGAACGCGTTCCTGTTCCTGTCTTTCCCCGTCGAGCACGACGGATTATTATCACAAACGCTTTTCGAGGCACTTGTACAATTATCACTCAGCGCGTTCACGTTCAGTATATTCAGGCTCTTCCTCTTGTTCTCCTCGAGGGGTTTCTTTATACAGAACAGTTTGTTTTTAAGGCTGTGGCTCTTTTTATTGCTGTCGTGCCCGTTCCTGTTGATGTCCAGCCCCAGTAAATTATTATTAACGATATTATCCGGGCCATTGGGGTAGATTAAGCTGTTAGGGTGACTCCACGAGTTATTTCGCGGCTGGAAATGCTTCCGGTCTTTGTATTTCCGGTTCGACGGCGAGTCCGGTGGCCGACCTTCTTCCGGGAAATTATTGTAAGTGGCCATAGTCTTTGATTTTTGCGACCATAGCGAGCCCAAATCTGAAAACAAAAGCCCGCATTACACTGGAACGCAATCTGAGCGCTATCGTTCATCATGTGTGCACAGGGCCGTATTTATTACGTTGCCTAAAGCGGCGAATTTCAAGGAAGCGGCAACGTTCTAATTTAATCTAAATTTCTAATGTAGTGAAATTTTTTTAACAAAATTCTTAACATTGATACAAATAAGAACAGCGTTTTAATAAAGTCACAGACATTTAAATACGACCCTGTCACTATACAGCAAAGTAAAAATTATTATTCTGTTTGATATGCAAATTAAAAATATATCAGTCATACAAAAATTAGAATTATTCAAACCGTCTTAATCTCATTATAAAATATCGCCCAGCTTGTTAAATCAAAAGAAGAAAAGTGAAATTTACAGTTACCGTCTCTCCCCATTTTTCAGTGCAGATAAACATAAATTTGTTCCTGCATTAACGTTTTTAGACATCCTGTGTCAGGAATTCTTAGCACTAAAAACATCCAAGGGAGTGTTTTCCAATAAAGATTTATGTAACAGATCTTGGAGGGGACTTCATCGTCAGTGGGTAGGGATAGATATACGAATTTTCGTATGTGGAATGTAACACTGATCAAAACATCACCGTGTTCTCGGAATGGAAATTAGATAAACCGTTTGACATTATCGCAAAAACACAGTAATGTATTGATCAAGTTTTTTGAGATATCCTGGATAAGCAAATGTGGGAAGCAAACATTCACTAATCTACACGCAACACGGTATTTCAGTGAAGTAAATATTAAATGTGCATGATTGAATGTAAATGTGATAACTAATTTTAACTTCAAAACACACTGACAGCGTTGATCTGAGATGTACAGATAAAAATAACGACTGAATTCGTAAAAGCACGTTCAACTTCAATTCATTTTTTGCGATCCCACGGTTAGGTTAATAGGTGCCAAGTTTACAAAGTAACAATTGATTTATGTATAAACTCAAGGAAATTTTCAGTTTTAGTAAATCAGAATCTACAGTTTTAAACATCACAAGATTTTCGTTTAAAACTTGTAACAACAATGAAAATAATGTGCAGCTCAAATTTCATGCTGGTAGTTGTTATCAGTTTTTTACCCTTGGTTCAGTGATAAAAGTTTATTAACCGCATAATCGATACTGAATAATTATCGTGCTTACATGAAAACTAGAAAAATTGTACTTGACATTTCACAAATATTGGCAAAATCACAATTTAAAAGTGAAAAATATAGTCTGTAAAATCGCAAACAGTGGCGCCACAGTTTGTTTAATTTAACACAGAATCAGTACAACGTAATCCATTAAAGATCCATAAAGATAACTTCATTGTTGATTTGGGGACATGAGAAATCGCTTTTTAATTACATTTACGAGTGCCAAACAATCGGCTGCCGCCTGCCAAGTTTTTAAAAATACTGTTTCATGCAATTCGTTAATCTGATGAATCTCACTTTCAAAGTGTCATTTATCCCTCTGGTCAACGACCTATAATGTACTCAAAATCAGGAAGAACTGAACAACAGTGTACTGTCTGTGCTATTTTTACTTTAAGAAAATTTTATACTAACGAAACTCTGAGTACTGAGTCTCGATTATTCACAAATAAATCAGCAAATTTCTGACACCGCTTTCATAAATGATCCTAATATTCAAGTGGGCACTGATTTGTTCCGCCTCTTTCAGAGTGTGGCAACTTCTAACCATCTCCATGGCAATGAAAGTTCAAATGTCGTAATTGCATTGACATATGATATATTAACCATATTAATTTAACATTTAAAAATGTCTAACATTACTAAGCAACGTTTTTAATTTCACAGATCAGTGGATGTAAGAGACATTTATGGAAACCCTGTATTAGAAAGGTCATTGCCTAGATCAGCAGTTTTCGTATGTTATATCTGCTGAAAATATGTACCAAGTATTTTCTTCAAGTGCGTTGTATTTATAAAATAAAATTAATTACAGTTGGCGTTGCTTGTCAAGTTTTGGGTGGATCAACTGCCCACATTTTGACGTAAATCAATGTCAATATAATTTTTAACGTATCACTTTTTGTCAGTGGGTGCAAATTAAACAAAACAATAGGAAAAGTTAATATTTCAATCAAATGAAGCAGTTATTCCGAAAAAAATTCCATCTTCGAATCTAAGCATATTTTTTTGCGTCTGATGCACAACAGAAACCAGATGACTGAATCGATAAATTTTTAAACGATTTGATTTAAAAATACTTTGCCCGATTCAGGTGCCTGTCGTTTCCTCGACGTTTCAGGACCCTTGGAAAATAAACCAGTAGGTCTTCCATTGTCGTCGTTTGCATATCGGCTGCCGGGTGTGTCGATACATATATGTATATTAAGCAGATAATTGCTGAAACTACTTGACTGATTGTCGTCAAATTTTATAGGTGCTTTAGGAATACTGTATACATGATGAAACGCTAACAAAATTTGTCCAACACTAGCAATCTGAATATACACTGTTTAAAAAAATAGAGGACAGGTGATCAGGTCTAGTACTTGCTAAATACAACTTATTTTGGCAAATGAAATACTCACTAAGAAAATAGAGGGCGGGTGGGCGGGGCTATCACTTGCTAAGATAAGACTGATTTTGGCGAATGACATACCCTCAAAGTGTACTTGTTAAGGCAAGACTGATTTTGGCAAATTATACCTTCTAAGAAAATCGAAGGGTCTATCATTTGTCAAAATCAGTCTTATCTTAGTAAGCATTAGCCCCGCCCACCCGCCCACTCTTTCCTTCGAGGATATGTTATTCGCCAAAATCAGTATTAACATAACAAGTCCTAGGCCCGCCCACCCGCCCTTTCGTTTCTTGGAGGGTATATTATTCGCCAAAATCAGAATTATCTTAACAAGTACTAGCCCCGCCCACCCGCCCTTTCTTTTTTTTGAAGGTATGTCAACAACCAAAGTCAGGCTTATCTTAGCAAGTATTAGCCCTGCCCACCCGCCCACTATTTTCTTATAGGTTATATCATTTGAAAAAACTAGTCTTACCTTAGTAAATACTAGCCCCGCCCACCCGCCCTCTCTTTTCTTCGAGGGAATGTTATTCGCTAAAATCAGAATTACCTTAATAAGTAAACTTTCTTGAAAACATCAAAATTTTCGCAAAAAAAATGTAGAACGTTTTCTAATTTTTATTTAGAAAGTCCAGAACCGAATATTCTGAAATTTTGTCTCGTTATTGCAAGCCGAGTAAATTCTTAATAAAAATTGTTGTTTTTAAAAAATTATTTTATAAATTATAACTTTACTTATTGGGTTTCTATAATACATAACTTCGACATTATTTTTTACTTTATTGATTTGTCCATATCAAAAAAAATATTTCTTATATTGACTTTAAAACTCAAAGTTCTGTAGCAGAGAGGTAGGCGATTATACAGATGAATATTTAAAAATAATTTAAACTTTACACTTGTAATACTTGTAGTTTATGAATCCGTTTTGATTTTATACCCAAGATATCCAGATTTTCGGAATAAAATCAAAAACGGCATTTAATTTTTGACATTATGATAACCGAAATATTTAAATCCAGACACTATTTTGAACTGTCAGAGAGATATTCAACCTTTACCTAAAAAGATCCGGCTTCTTTCTAAAAAATCTGTAACGTCATCTAAGCATAATTTTCTTTGCTCTGATGTATATTGTTTATAGCAATTACCAGATTTTCCTTCCGTTTGTTGTCTATCGTCTGTCTGTCTGTCTGTCTGTCGGTCCTCTGCCCGTCGTCTATCGTCTGTGTCGATATTTATTAAGTAGGTAATTTCGGAAACTACTAGACTGATGGCTGTCAAATTTATAAGAATTTTAGGAATATTGCGTACATGGTAAAATGTTAACAACAATTTCGAGTTTATTGTTTCGTCCACAACAAAAAATATTTCTTATATTATTTATTTATTTTATATTATTCATTAAAAATGCACTGTAAAAGGCCTAATCCAGGAGGAGTTTCTTAATATTGACTTTAAAACTTAAAAACTCAGAGTTCTACAGCAGAGAGGTAGACGATTCTAAAGATCAACATTTAAAAGCAATGCACGTGGTACTTGTGGTTAATGAATCCGTTTTGATTTTCTACTCAAGATCCAGATTTTCGGAAAAAATCAAAATTGTTTATTACATTTTACAATTTAAATTTAAATCTTGTTTCGTTATCGTAAGTTTGGTAAATAGTTTATCAAAAATCGTTAGTACTAAAAAACTATGTTATAAATTATAACTACATATACATATATGAGAACGTTAAGCAAGGACCCATTAGCTCAGTTGGTTAGAATTTCGTAGTAATAACGCAAAGGTTACAGGTTCGATCCCCTCATAGACCACTTTTTTTCTTACACTGTGACTGGTATCATTAAATAAATATTTTTTAAACTGGATTTGTTCATCTGTGTGTCTCTATGTGTCGTCTATGTGTCTGTTGTCTAGTTGTCTGTCGTGTATTTGCCTAACACCTGTCTGTCTGTCTGTGTCGTAGTAAAAAAGTAAATACTATTTAAATTTTATACTTGTCGTATTTATGGTTTATGAATCCGCCTTGATTTTTTACTCTAGGCATTTAGATTTTCGTTAAAAATAAAATTGTTTAACATTTTACAATTTAACTTAGAAATTGCAAAACTTGATGCTCTGAAATCTTGTTCAGTTATCGTAAGCCTAACAAATCATTAATCAAAAATTATTATGTAAAAAAAATATTTTATCTGTCTGTTGTCTCTCGATCTGTCCTGTATCTGTCTGTAGTCTGTGCGGTAGTAAAATAATAAATGCGATTTAAATTTTATAGTTGTGGTTTATGAATCCTTCCTGATTTTCGCAAAAAAGTCAAAATTAATCAAAATTTGTTAATATGCAAAAATTATTTTATAAATCATAACATCACTCATTGGGTTTTTGCAATATAGGGGAACCTCTAAGCAACGATCCATTAGTTAGAGCAGTGGTTCCCAA